CCCCCTTTCCACATAGGGAATGTACCTGAAGTCCTTGCTCAGAATCTCAGATGATCAGGGCCAGAGCTGAGGTTCAAGAACAAGAATTTGCCTCCAGTCTGTGTTCCAAGACAGAGTGAGCCACCTGCAGCCCACGGGCCGGATCTAGCTTCCCGTGGCACAGAAACTAAGAATGGCATTGCTATTTTTAAGTAGGTGTAGAACAGAAAAGGGGGGGGGGGTGTACAAAGGCCCTCTCCGGCTTGCAACACATAACTATTTACACTTAGTCCTTTGTGGGAGATGGGTGTCAGTCTCCCTCCCGTAACCACACACTCCAGCCACTCGGGCCCTGAAGCCCCCAAGAGAGGTTCCGGAAAGAGCCCAGAGGCCGTAGACAGACTGTGTGGCCGTAGACGGGCTGCCGTGTAGGACGTCTGACTTATGAGTCACACTACACACAGCTCACAGCTCAGTCCTGGGACAGAGAGGATCTTAGGCTCAATGAGTAATTGCATAGATCAGCCATGTGAAATAGGTCCATCCATGGATGCAGTCCTGGAATCTGCCAAGAAACAAGGCTTAAGAGGGGTCTGTGGGTAAAAGCCCTTGGGAGCACGTCTGATGGTCTGAGTTCAAATCCAAGATCACAAGGTGGAAGGAGAGAACGCCTACTGCTGTGGAATATTCCTTCACACTGTGTGAAGATGTGTCACTGTGATTGGTTTACCAAAAAGCTGAACGGCCAATAGCTAGGCAGGATTTCTGGGCAGAGAGAGGACTCTGGGAAGAAGAAGCAGAGTCGCCAGCCAGACGTGGAATAACCAAGATGGGTATAATGGAGATGAGGCAATGAGTGTGTGGAAGAATGTAGATTAAAAATATGGGTTAAGCCGGGCGGTGGTGGCGCACGCCTTTAGTCCCAGCACTCGGGAGGCAGAGCCAGGCGGATCTCTGTGAGTTCGAGGCCAGCCTGGTCTCCAAAGCGAGTTCCAGGAAAGGCACAAAGCTACACAGAGAAACCCTGTCTCGAAAAACAAAAAAAAAAAAAAACAAAAAAAAAAAAAAAAAAAAAAAAATATGGGTTAATGTAAGTCATAAGAGCTAGTGGGACAAGCCTAAGCTATAGGCTGAGCTTTTGTAATTAATAAGTTTCCATGCTGTTTTTGTGAGCTGGAAGCCCAAATAAAAGTCCAACTACAGCCTACAAACTGTCCTCTGACCTCCATGTACCTAGCACCCTATGTACACCACACATACAATAATAATAATAATTAATTAATACGTTTTAAAGGAAACAAGGTTAAAAGAGAAGAAGAAAAGGAAGAAGAGAGTTTTAAAGGCTGAAATAACGGAAAGTCCACGTGTGACAGGGCTCGCCTCAGGTGCAGCTGAGTGAGCCAGGCGCTCACGCCCACTTTCACTCCCTAGCACTCATGAGATACCACACTCAGTATGAACCAACGCCATTTGATTCCCCATAGTTTCCAAGGGCCAGGAGTCTGGTTATGGGCTTCCTGGCCCTCTGCTCAGTGTCACAGCATCTCCGTGTCACAGGAGGTCTGGGCTGACGGTAGACAAGGCTGAGGTGGTAGCTCCTCAGAACTCAGCTCCTCCTGGCTGCAGGACTTTGATTTCCAGGAGGGCTTTCCTTTTTGAGAGAGTCTCATCTACCCCAGGCTAACTTCAAACAATCTCGAACTCCTGATTCTCCTGCCTTTCCCTCCCCAATGCCAGAGTTACAGGCACACCATCACTCCCGACTCTGTACTGTGCTGGGATCAAAGCCCGGGGTTTCAGGCACCCTAGGAACCAACCACTCTACCAACCGAGCCACAGCCCAGCCCAAGATTCTGGGATTTTGTCGTCAGGCAGGGCAATCTGCACCATGTGGCCTCCAGAAGATGACAATTTACCCCTCCCTTTAAAGCCAGCTAGAGAACATTATTCTAGAAAGAACCCAACCCCCTTGAGGCTTTTGCCTGATTAACAGGGCCCAAGCAGGGCAATCTCCTTTCCATTAAATTCTATTAACTGACTTGGGAGATTAATATGCAAAATCCCTTTGCCTCAGCGTCATCCTGGGGTGGAAACGTTATGCTCATAGTCCTGCCCACACCCAAGGGGATAGTGGGATTAGGAATCTTGGGGACCACCTTGGAATCCTACCTCCCCACCCACAGGGGCCTGTTTCCTTTCCCTGCCCATCGTGGCCTCCAGCAGCTCCCTAGTCACCAGTAGAAGCTGTCCTCCCTCAAGAGAGCAAAAGAAAATCCCTGACCTGTTCCCATTGGTCCACCAAAGGATCATGTGCTCATATCTGACCAATCACTGGTCAGGACACAGACCGCGTGAATCAACCACCCCGGAGTCAGATGTGGGAAAACTGGAGCATGGGGTCGTAGTTAGCGGTTCATGACGGTGACAAAATATCAGAGAGCCCAACTTTAGAGAGTTGGGTCTCTTTGGGGTCTCTGTTCCAGAGTGTGGACTCCATCGTCAGACAAGGTCTGCTCTCATCATGGCAGCCAGGGAGGAGGAGAGCGGGAGAGATGAGGGAGAGGGAGAATGTGCCTGTGGCTCTAAGCTCCACCCACACCCCACACCCCCACCCCCCACCCCCCACCCCCCACACCCACACCCCACGCCCCACACCCCACACCCCCCACACCCCACACCCCCACACCCCCCCCACACCCCCCACACCCCCACCCCACACTCCCCACACCCCACCCCCACACCCCCCCACCCCCCACGCCCCACGCCCCACGCCCCACGCCCTACGCCCCACACCCCACACGCCCCACGCCCCACACCCCCCACACCCCACACCCCACACACCCCACACCCCACACCCCACCAGTGGCAAAGAGTTTATCTTAACTCACAGTTCATCAAGGCAGGGATGTCAAGGACACAGGAGCTGCCCGCGTCCCATGCACCGTCAGGACACAGAGAGGGACAGACAACCAAGTCCTTTCCCATCTCACTCCATCCAGGTCTGCAGACTATGGGATGGAGCCACAGTGGGCAGGGTGCTCCCTCCCTCCCTAGCTGCTCATCTCTGGGAAGGTCCTCAGGACACACTGAGGGTGCTTCACTAACCGCAACCCCACCGTCGGGCACATCAAAGCTATCCATCCCACCTGAGGCGCCAGGCTTGGAAGTCAGAGAGAGACCCCCAAAGAAAAGTAGGGCGCTTTCTCCACCACTGGATAAGTGCCCCTGGAAAGACCCCTCTCCTCTTCAGGCCCCGCAAACACCCACCTCACACATGTGTCTCCCAGTTATTTCCATGTCTGAACTTCCAAAGCTGTTCTTGCCTTTACTGATTCATTTTCCTTGTTCTATGTGTGTATGTATGTGGTGTACATGCAGGTCTCTCTCTCTCTCTCTCTCTCTCTCTCTCTCTCTCTCTCTCTCTCTCTCTCTCCCTCTCTCTCTCTCTCCCCCTGTGCGTGTGTGTGTGTGTGTGTGCGCGTGCGTGCGTGCATGCGTGCGTGTGTGTGTGTGTGTGTGTGTGTGTGTGTGTGTGTGTTATGTATGGTGTGTGCAGATGTATGCTGATGCACACACCCAGGAGCACACAGAGGCCAGAGGAGGATGTCAGATGTCCTGATCCATCACTCCACTTTATTCCCTTGAGAATGGGTCTGTTTGTCACTGAACCAGGAGCTCTGCTGGCAGCCAGCAAGCCCAGCATCCTCCAGTCTCCACCCTCACGGCCCTGGGGTTACAGGCACACCCAGCTTCGTGCAGGGGTGCTGAGGTCCTTGTGCTTGCACAGTAAGGGGTCTTACCCACAGAGCCACCTCCCCACCCCCTAACTTCCGGGGAAACGTAAGTTCCTGACAACGGAAACTGAAAACCCTCTATGTTCCTGCTTAGGAGCAGCCAGTGTTAAACACCCGTTGTTTAGAGGCCAGGCAAAATTCACCAGATCTATGGGACAGCAGAGTCCCACTGCTGGGTCCCCCTTGTCCCACTGGGAGAGAGGTCTCTGTCTCCTCCTTGGCAGGCTGCCAGGTCTCAGCTCTGTGGGAACCTCCAAACCATAGCCTCAAGGCTGAGACTCAAAATACTTAACCACAGGCTCTGGCCCATGGCACTAGATGCCAGTTGTAAGCCAGCGAAGCCTTCTCTGGGCCAGAGGTGAAGCTGACTGACTGGTCACTTGGCAGCATGTAAGCAGCAGTGTGGCAGCATCCATGCCGTCAAGTTTTCCCAGGAGGGTACCGCCAGGAGGCAGGTCAGTGTGAGCCAGTGAGCAGCCAGGCGGGTTTCGTATCAGGGGCCCTGACTAACCCATTGCATGTTCACTGGAAGAGCTGGGGGCCAGGGACATGGTTCTCCCAGATCAAGGCACTGGCCGCCAACCCTGACAATCCGAGTTTGATCCCTGGGACCCACATGGGGGAAGGAGAGAAGAGGCTTTTGAAAGTTGCCCTCCGACCACACACACAAATAAACAAGTAAATAATGTTTTAAGTCCGAGGGAGGCTGCCAGTGTAAACCAGACACCATTCAGTGTGTGGTGGTGACAGACACCGTCCTCATTAGCAGGAAAGTGGGGTCCATGGCGACTCACAGCTGCTGAGTGGCAGCTGTGGTACTGGAGCTTTGGGTACTGTCCCTAAATCCAGGGATCTAGATCATTTTTTACCACCTCTTCTGTTGGAAGTGTGAGCTACAGGATATTCATTCATTTTCCAAGCATCTAGGGGTTGCTGTGTGGTAGCTGATAGTCTGGACACTAAACTCTGATGGTGACAGACACAGCCTCTGCCTTGCACTGCTGGTGTCAGGTGGGACATGGGGAAGGGCACACAATAAAAATGGAATCTCGCCGGGCGGTGGTGGCGCACGCCTTTAATCCCAGCACTCGGAGGCAGAGGCAGGCAGATCTCTGTGAGTTCGAGGTCAGCCTGGTCTACAGAGCGAGATCCAGGAAAGGCGCAAAGCTACACAGAGAAACCCTGTCTCGAAAAACCGAAAAAAAAAAAAATGGAATCTCAGCCAGGTGTGGTAGCATGTGCCTTTAATCCCAGCACTCATGAGGCAGAGGCAGGCGGAGCTCTGTGAGTTCAAGGCCAGCCTGGTCTACATAGAGAGTTTCAGGCCAGCCAAGGGAGAAGAAAAAGAATGTCAGATGGCAGCATATTATAGGAAGATGATAATGTGGGGAGGTGGGTGAAGAGTGGCCAGGAAGTGTCTTTAGGTAAAACGTACAGGGAAGAGTCTTGGGGAGGTGACATCTGAGCTGAAGCCTGTAACGACACAGAACTGGTAGAATGAAACTTGTTGAGTCTTCTAGGGAGAGGGCAGAGCAAGTGCAAAGGCCCTGAGGCAGAAAAGGGCTTGAGAAACAAAGAAAAAAATACTTCTGTGGCTCTGTTAATGGGAGCAAGCTGGGAGCGATTACAGAATTACTGTTAATTTCCTTAGATGCCATAATGATGGGAAGGCCATCTGGGAAAGCAGCATACTCCTCGGAGATGCCCGCTCCAGTCCTGAGGGCTAATGGCGTCACCATGTCTGCAGCCTCCTGCCAAGGGACCCAGCAACATATCAAGCCCACGTGATCAACATAATCTACTGTGGCCTCAGGTGGAGGGTTCAAATGCCTCCACCGTATTGTCCTTCCAGTGCTCATATTTGACTGAGAGGCACTGGGGAGACAGCTCGGCGGCTGAAGAATTCATCACACAACACGTGCACCTGAGTTCAGATCCCCGGCCAATCTTGCAAAATCATTGATTTCGGGGTTCAGTGAGAGACTCTGTCTCAAAAAATTAAGTGGCCAATACTAGATGAAGACAGAGGCCAGAGATTAATGCCAAGTGTCCCTGATCACCCTCCTCTATCCCCACCTCCATCTAAGCACTGGAATTATAGGTATGCAGCCATACCTGGCTTTCTACATAGATTCTGGGGGTTGCACTCAGGTCCTCATGCTTCCAAAGAAAACATTTTCCCAACCAAGCCACCTCCATAGCCCCATAGTCTCCATTCTTAAATGAGAAAATTGAGTAGGGGGTGGAGGGGATCAGTCAGCAAAGGAACCACCTGCTGGTCAGTGGCAGGTTGTTAGGATCTTGGACTGGAAAAGCATCGAGTCATTAGCCCACCATCCATAATCACAATCTATGAACTATAATCAAAGCTCAGAAGTGATTTTTCTGGAATTCAATCATAAAACTAGATATACTGTCCCAGAGAAAGCCCTAGATCGAATAACACTTATGAAGAAATGGATTGTGCATTTCCCCTCAAGAAAACAAAGATCTCAGGGCTGGAGAGATGGCCCAGAAGTTAAGAACACATGCTACCTTTGCAGAAAATCAAAGTTGGGTTCCCAGCATCCATGTCAGGCTGCTTATAACTGCTTAGAACTCCAGCTCCAGGAGACCTGATGCCCTGTTCAGGGGGATCTGACGCCCTCTTTAGGCTGCTGAGGGCATTGCACACACATGCACATACCCACACACAGATGCACTTGTAGATAATTAAAAAAAAAAACTTGAAAAGAAAATCCCCTTTGATCCACCTTGTCTGCAGAGAGGCCTCTCTCTGCCCAGGGCCTCATGGCTGTTCTTATTATCAGCTCCACCTGTCCTCACACTGTTGGTTTACCCTCGTTTACCAGGGCCACACAGGGGACACAGAGGCACGCATTTAAACTTTTTGGCCTGTTTCTCCGAAAAAGACCAATGGTATACCATCAAACAATGAGTCCATTGTTTGTCTCCATGACCTGTGGCCTTTGAAGAGTGTCTTAACTGGGGACTGTCCCACGCTTTCCCTGGTAAGAATTCACAGTAAACACCATCACTCTTCGCGACTGCTCGCGGCAATTATAGTGGTTTATAATTCTCCTCCCTCTCAAACTAGCCCTTGATTCCTAAATGCGCACTTTTAGGCGTCAGGCGTTAGAATAAATTAGACTCTACAATTACATGTAATTAAAGGGGGAAACGGCTGTGGCGATGCAAAGATAGCTGTGTTTTGCTGAAGTAAAGCCTGTCTGTGGCCGTGTGCTGCCCAGGGAGGCCACATGAAATACAATTAGTGTTAGGTTTAATGGGGACTTGTGGAGCTGCTCTCGCTATCACGATATCTGAAGATATATATAAACAGCTTCACGCTAATACCAGGGTATTTCTCCTGACAAGACAACTTGCGTTCTAACTAAGATTTCAGCAGAACTAACCACAAATTCATACTGTTTTGCAAGATACTCAAATGTGTATTTTAAAAGCCCCGCAAAAGCCCATCTCCACTCAGGAGCTGGGGAGATTGATCTCTACCCTGGGAGGGGACTCAGGCTTCTCTTGGAGGGGCGAGTCACAGTCAAACTTGCATGCATTATTAAAGCCACCTGTGCCCCAGAGCGTGGGGCCTCAGCAGAGCCTCCAGTCTGCAGCCATGTCCCTCGGTTTAGTGTTTCTCCTTTACACGCCAATTTGTTTCAGACATGTTAAAAGGTTGTCTTTTATAACCCTCGTAAACTACCATCGACTCTGGCCCTGATGGCCAGAAAAGTTTAAACAATCTGACTGGGTTTCAACCTGTGTGCTGGGATGCAGAGAGGTTCAGAAAGAGGCATGTGGGTTCCCACCGTCGCCAGAGAGTCAAGGAAGTAAGACCGGGAAGGACCTCGTAGGGTGGGTAGGACCCACAATGTCCTGTATAGCAAGGGACTCCCAAGGGGAAAAGCAAGGCTTGGGGCATCAGAACAAAGTTTGTCAAAGTTAAGCCAACAATGGAGTGAGGGCAGCCTGAGGAGCTTACAAGGCTCCACAGTTGTCCAGCTGGGGCATTTGTAGTGATGACCGTCATCAGGGGCACAGGGAACACAATAGAAAACTGGCCTTAGACCACATGCTTAGAAAGGCAGGGACTGGAGACTCAGGAAACCCTGAAGGTCCTGAGGACTCTGTTTAGCCCACCTTGGCCAGAGTCAATCGTGGAAGAGACCATGACTCCCCAGGCTGGGGGACATCTGACACTGAAGCCCCTCACGTCTTCAGACAGACACAGAAATTCTTGAGTGGCGCCAGAAGTCCTCAGTCACCTGGAAGGAGCCTGGGCCACAGGCTGAGGCCCAGACCAACAGGGTTAGGAGTTCACTAAGAATTAGGGGAAGACATGTGACCGGAGACTTTGCAGACCCTCTGGGTGTCTTAGCTGATGAGAGTCCCATGCATACAGGCTTGTCCTTAAACTCTGTCCTCTCCTCAGTAAAGAATGAGCTGGGGTCAGGTGCTGATGTCGCCGTCACTGGGTTAGATCTTACTATTGCAACAGCAGAAAGAAAACAGAAGAGAAATCATGTGATATCATCTTCCTCCAGTGCCCAGTCCCAACTGGGTGACTTCAAGCCTCCTCCTTTCCTGGAATTTCTGATGGACACACCCATCTGCAGAGAGAACCACTGTCTGAAGGGCAAGGGTGTGGTCATACTGTGGTTCTTGAACTGTTTTGTGGTGTAAATTCCCAACTTCTAGAACATTCTCCGGAACCTCACAGCAAATAGGACGCAGGTTTCAGCCCTGACCCCCTCCCCCCACTCCCTTTCCTACCCTGATGGGACACTGGGGTCTGACTAGAAAACCACAGCTGCAGTGAGGTACCTGGTTCAAAGCCAGGCACAGCCTCTGCAGTAGGACGGAAGGGGACAGGGAGCTGAAAGTCACCTGCCCATCCACTGTGAGCAAGTGGGCTGTGGTCAAGACCCTAACCTCGCTGAGCATCCACGTTCTCCAAAGTTCGGGAATGAAAATGTGATGACCAGGTGCAAATGCTCTTCAGATGGCCACAGAACCTGCTGGAACGGTGCTTCCTGGGAGGAGGAGCCCAAGGCACAGTGGGGCCCAAAGTGAGCAGTGTTGTAAATATAAAATTACATGTTACAGAGAAAGAAAAGAACACAAAAAGATCACATTTATACTTGTCTGTTGTTGTTCTGAGTGCCTCTGAGACAGTCTCACTATATAGCCTGGTTTGACTTTGGGCAATCCTCCTGCCTCAGCCTTCCTAGTGCTGGGATCACAGGTGTGAGCCACAATAATACTGTTTCAGTTGACTGTACAAAGACATGACGTCAAAAGTGATTACAACTGCTTTGCTACCTGTTTGCTTATTTATTTTTGTTTTCTAAGATTTTTCTTCTTGTTTGTTTTTTTAAAAATGGGTCTCCTGGATCTCCAGCTGGTCTCAGACTCACTAGTAGAAGAAGGTGACCTTGAATTTCTGATCCTCCTGCCTCAGCCTTCCTAGTGCTGGGATAGCAGGCATACACCACCACGCTTTCTAGTGCCAGTTCTCAGAAGCTCTCAGTCACAGGAGTGGCCTGACACATGCCTCCTCTGAACAGTGCTGGGGGGAACGTGGCCCTTCCTGACACTCATATCCACTGAACAGTGCTGGGGGGAACGTGGCCCTTCCTGACACTCACATCCACTGAACAGTGGTACAGGGAGTGTAGTGTGGCCCCTCCAGACATGAGCATCCACTGAACGGTGCTCCAAGGAATGTGGCCCTTCCTGACGTGAACATCCTCTGAACAGTGCTCCAGAGAACAGGGCCCTTCTTAAGCAGCAATGAGGGTGGGGTGGGGATGGTGGTGTCAATCTTTAGTTCATGAAAGCAAATACTTTGACATTCTGTATCCAGCCACAACTGTACAACTGACTGGCCAAAGGTGGGACCTGCCCCTGGCTTGGAAAGGCAAGTTCAGGATTAGTGCAAAGAGGAGTCTAGAGCCCTCCACCCAGTCAAACAATCCATTTGAACTTTAGATAAACAGCAAAGTTTTTTTTTCTAATCTCCATGGGTGCCCTGTTATTTTTACTTATTAAACTTGACAACACTATCCATCAGGAAACTAGAAAAATCCCACCAGGGAACGAAGGATTTGGAAAATAAGTCCAGCCTGGGGTTTCAGATCCAACGCCAGAGCTCAGCTTCTTGGTTCAGATCCCGATCCATTGCTTGCAACTCTCTGACCTTGGGCCAATAACTTGGAACTGCTCTGGGTCTTGGTTTCAGTGTCTATAAATGGATAGAACACCATGGAGGATTTTCAGGGTTACGTTTCCACTCGAGGCCAGTTCCCCCGCAGGGTCAGTTCCCCCCAGCTCGTCAGCTTTACTTTCTGCCGCTCTGGTGGGTTCTGTGGCCTCTCTTCACCCACCCCAGGCAGCCAGTGCCCCTCAGGCCTCTGTGGCTGGGGGACGGCAGAAACCGCGCAGACAGCACCACCTGGAGTCGAGTTTCCCCTTTACCAAGGGAGCCTGCCTCCCCTTTCTTTCTCACTCCCGGCCCATGCCTGGGCAACGCTTCTGCTTTCGCTTGAGCTCAAGTTAATTTCTCAGAGAGCTTCGGAGGCGCGTGGGAAGGTCCCGGGCGCGTGGGCAGTTCCTCCCGCGATCTAGCTTGGGGATCAGCCCGAGCCGGCGTCTCCAATGGCAAGTGTGTGCGTGTGTGTTTAGCGGCGAGCGCTGGGCTTTCAGCAAAGGCAGCCGGGTGTTTGCAAACCAGGCGAGCTCCTGTGAAAGCGGATAAAAGAAAACATTTATTAACGTGTCATTACGAGGGCCAGCGCCGGGCCGGGGCTGTCGCACGCCTCAGGGAACACTTGGCTCCTCGCGGCTAGGAGGGAGAAGGACGAGAAAGAGGCTGGATTCTCTGCGCGCCAGCCCCGGGGCCTGATCCATGGCCCTCGCGACTTCGCGCCAGTGTCTGGTGGACTAAGAGATGCGCCCCCGGTCCGAGTGGCACACACGCGCGCACACACGCACGCGCGGTCCCGGCTCTCCGGCAGCTTGCTGCTCAGCGCACATCGGCTTCAACTCCGCGCCCAGGGCGAGCGGGAGCGGGTGCGGGTGAGTGCGCCCGGGGCCCGCGAGGGTGCGCGCTCGGCGGCGGGAGCGCGGCCGGCCACCGGCTCGGCAGGCAGCAGGCCGGGAGCCGCTGGGACTTCGGGCCGGGGCGCGGGGCGACCGCGGAGCCGGAGGTGAGGCGCGATGGCTAGGTCGCAGGGTCCCCGGCGGGGCGGGAGGCGGCCGGGTCTCGGGTCCTGGCGCGCGCGGAACCCGGGGCGGGCGGGCGGGGCGGAGCAGAAGCCGGGATGCGGCGGCGGCGGCCGGAGCAGCGGCAGCGCGGAGTCCCCTACGCCCCGCGGCCCGGCCCGGCTGCGGCAGAGGCGCGGTGAGGCCGCGGGAGCCGCGCGGTGAGTGGGGCGCGGGACCCGGGTCGGGCCCGGATCACGGATTCCAGGGCGAGCACGGCTCAGGTGAACCCACCGGGTCCCCGCCGCCCGGCTCTGGGAGGGTGGCACCGGGAGGCTTCGGCGCCGGCTGGCCACAGGGGGCTGACCGGTTTGACCCCGTCTGCGAGGCTGGGCAACTGGGGGAGGACTTCTCGCCGCGCCCCGGTGATCCCCGGGATAGGGCGCCTGAACCCGAGGGCTGCAGGAGCATGGCCGGGTTGACCCCTTGGGGTTTAGACCCAGAAGGCCAGCTAGATGCCAGGCCACGTGCAGCTTGTCTGGGCAGGACCGGAGCAAGCAGGGACTAGGAACTCGCGGAACCGAGGACAAACGAAATCGAAAAACTTCTCCCGCGCCAGGTCAGACCCATCGCCCTGCAGACCTGCGTCCGCCGCGAGTTCCAGAAGCCCGAAGGGGACGCTGCAGCGGGGACTGCAAGTTCATTTAGAGTAGTTCATTCATTCATTCGACAAGCATTTATGGAGCTTTGAGCGTGCCAGGCGCGGGGTGTTACCCAGGGAAGCGTGGATGGATGGCAGTGTTAGTCCCTGCGAGGGCGGCTGGTGGCGAGAGGAGACTCAAAGTGGGCAGATGGAGGGAGCCACCCGCGGTCGGCTTGGTGGCCTCTGTCTGGCGGGGTCCCTGAGAGCCTGTCTCCCCACACAGTAGGAATGGTCTGCACAGAGTGTGGTTATGGTGACCCCCGCCTCTCCCCACTTCCTGAAAGTTCTGAGCGGCCCCACCCCTTCTGAACTGGCTCTCTTGCAGCTTGTTTTAATCACTTTTTGAGTTAAAAGTCAATATTTAATTAACCAAGTAATTACATTCAGCCTACGTTTGATTCTAGATATTTGCTGTGTCTGTGGGGATGGCCGCCCTCTCCATCTGTCCCTGCCTCTTTCCCACGGTACACCCCCAGGCTACTCTGGAGGTGAGTGACCGAGAGCAGGTGACACCGGCTGTCCCTAGGGACACCCTGGATTTTCTCTCTCTCCGGAATTGTGCATCTTGCAGTTTGTGGTGACCCGTGACAGGGTCCAGCTCGTTGCCCAAAGGTGATCAACTAAGATACAACCATTGATTAAAAGGGGGTGGGAGCTCCCTGAAGACCCCTCCCCCCAAGATGCTCCACCCAGCCTGGCTAGTCCTCAGGGAAATCAAAACAACCTGTTTCTACTTGGTTTAGTGTTGAAATCAGCAGTTTGTTGATGATGGTGTTGGCTTGGCCCATGGCATGCTGGACCCGCCGTCCCTGCCCTGGCTGAGAGGCAGTGTGGCTTTGGACTTTGTGTAACCCTCTTGAGGTTTTTTTTTTATTTGAATTTATGGCTTTTCCTGAAACCTTAATAGCATGTTAGGTTTTCAGAATTAAGGGTGGAAGGGTAAGTAGGTTTGCTGAGACAAGGCTGGCCCGAAGAAGGAGCTGAGTGCACCCGTGTGCAGTCTGTGTGCCCCTGAGTGCCTCTGTGCCCCCTGGCCCACTCGAGCGTCATTCAAGGACCCCAACCCATGTGCAGTTTCACATCGGATGTTCAAAATGCCTTTTGACTGGGGAATTGAGTCTCTCCTGTCTGGCCTTGGTGGCTTCTGGCCCCTGGGTCAGCGGGAGATTATCACTCAGCCATTATCTTTTCTTAGACTCTGCCCTCTCTGAAGACCTGAGGCCCTTCCTGCCTACTTTCTGACCAGTTCAAAGAAGTTTCCCCTTCTACCCCTAAGATAGCAGACAGGAAGTGTTTAGGCCCTCAGCCATAGGTCACGTGTCCACACATAGTCCTCCGAGAGCTGTGGCTTGAATGTGGTGCTCAGTGGTACATTCCTCAGGCTCCAGGTCCACTTTGAACCACTAGGGGCTTAGTTATTTTCTAAATGCAGGGGGCAAGAAAAGACCTGACCAGTGAAACAGTAAAGCTGTGGAAGTCAGAAACCCTTCCAAATCCTTTCTCTCCTCTAAGAACCTCCAACGTTTTGGAAGCGGGAGTAGGGAGGTGTCCTGGTTTGTATTTTCGTTGTTGTTGTGATTTTCCTTAGGTTGTTTTTTTGTCTCTTTTCTCCCCCAGCGTTCGTCTCCCTCCCCTGATCTAGATGCAAAGGTTCTCGCAAATGTGGCCAATGAAAAGCACGCTGAGATGAGGATTTTTAGCTCTTCAGCAGCACAGGGAAAGAGGCAGGACACTGTAGGAGTGAGACCCTCTTGTGGCTGCTGATGGAGTGGCCTCAGAGGGGGTCCCAGGCACTTGGTTTCAGTCTGGGCTCTATGTGTCAGTGGATAAGAAAGTGGGTCTCTCCATGGTGACCTGCAGGCCAGGACAGTCAGGCTATGGCCAGCCCCAGGGACTGGCCTAGTGGGGACCCCGGCAGATGCCCATGATCCAGCCGGCTTCAAGGCGCTATCTAATTGGGAGATCATTAAGATCATTATAATTAATTGGCATCCTGATAAATGGCGTGATTGCCTAATTGGGGCGGTTGCTAGGGAACTAGACCTCACTTGGAGCCTAGAGGGGAAGAGGCAGTGGCTGGCTGCAGTTGGGCGCTGGGGTTACAGACCCTGCAGTTCATGGGCGGGAAGCCAGAACCGTATCACCCACATCGGCTGGCAGCTGCTGAGTGTGGTTGCAGATGTAATATGGGCGAGGGGTGTTTTCTTAGAAGGGCTGCAATCAGGACCCTTTCTCTTGCAAGCCATTGAAAAGGGGCTCTGAAATCACTTGGAGGCAAAAGAAAAATGTCTGATGTCTCTCACGGGCCCCGAATCCTAAAGCAGCCCTGGCATCAGGCACTGCTGAATCGGGGCTCAGCATTTGCCATAGACGCCATTCTTCCATCTCCGCTCTGCCCTCTGCCTCGCTCTGTGCCTTCTTCAGCACTGACACTGCAGTCTCTGGCAGCCCCAGGCTGGGTGTTTAAGAGAGCCCGTCTGTCTGGCCACCTGCCCAGCCATGACATGGGGGCGTGTGACTCAGTCGTTCTGTGCCTCCGTGTTCTTATCCAACAAGTGACGAGAGTAAGTCCTCACACCCTTCCCTGAGTCTGTGGACCAGGGTGAGATCATCCACACCAAGTGCTTAGCATCTGTCCCAGGTAAACCTTGACTGTCATCATACTGGAGATGACCGTCCTCTCACCTCTGTTGTCACCGCCCAGGCGAAGCAAGCCTCTTTGCAGCGACAGTCCCCTGGGCCCCCAGAAACCCTCCCATGAGACCGTTAACATGTGCACTGGCTGAGATAGTAAGTTACCTGTGCCTCAGACCACAGTCTGGATGGGGGTTTGGGGGAGGTGGCTGCTGGATCTCACAAACTGGGGGTCCCCTGGAAAAGGGAAGTCTGGCCATTTGGGAAGCTAGGAGCCTCCTGTATGGGCAGCCATGGTCAGAGGAGCCTGTCTGCCAGCATCCTGGCTGAGGTGAGAGCCACAGGGACATTACCACCTTTCCCTTTCCACAGGGTGCCTGGGAACCTTGTTTGGCGGCTTCAGTAGAGACAGCTGCAGCCTGGCTTTGATCCAGGGCTTTCTGGGGGCTGAGTTTGCCTGGCCCTACTCTGTGAAAATCATCTTGAAGTGTTTGTTTAAAAGATGTAAAGTCCTAGGGAGGGAGCAGGACACCCTGCATATGTTCGAGTCGGCAAAGGCTTGGAAGAGGGAGGGCCTTGTCGACCTGTGGGGGTAGCAGTGTACGTGGAGTGCTCTGGAGGAGAGCAAGGATACAGAGGTGTCCAAATGCACCCCTGCCTTGAACGTGACAACCTTCTTGGTATTGTACAGGTCCTACTACTACATGATCCCACTACCACACAGGCCCCAGTACCACAAGGGCTCAAGTATCCCATGGTTCCCAGTACCTTATGAGTCCCAATACCACAGGTCCAGTACCTCATGGGTCTCAGTACCTTATGAGTCCCAGTACCTCATGGGTCTCAGGACCTT